TGGCCCAGTGGCGCACTGCTACAGTGCGCCGCTTGGGAGCGCGGCGGCGCTCCCGCCAAGGGTTCGGATCCCACATACAGACCAGTTCCCGCTCACTGGCTGAGTGAGGGGCGGACGCAGCACCGAGGGTTGCGATCCCGTTGCCGGTCCGGTCCGGTCCGGTACCGGCGGGACACTGAGGGTTGCGGTCCGTTGCCGGACACGAAAAAAGACAAAAAGGAAAATAAATAAACTTCTTATGCCTGGGAGTGAAATAGCTGAGTCACATGATAATTCTGTGTTTAAATTTTTGAGGACCCAACAAACTGTTTTCTAGAGCAGCTGCAACATTTTACATTCCCACAGCAATTTGTGAAGGTTCCAATTTTTCCACATCCTTACCAGCACTTGTTATTTTCTGCGGGGGTGCACCAAATCCAAGAAGCCAGAGTTTGACAAGGATCCTCTGAATAGACACGATGCTTGCAAGGCCTCATCGTGGGAGGAGGTGCTGCTGTTCCACCCTCCTTTCTTTTGGAGTTCTAGTCAAAAGCAGAAATACCTCAGGATCAATGGATCATCGGCATATCTCTAGATGCCAAATTTGGTAATAGGCTAGGTTTATGAGAGCTCAGACTCTGGAAACAATCAATGAAGGGAGATTGAAGGAATAGACGTGGGTTTAGAGAGCACTGTGGAGAGATCATCTCAGGTGTCACAGGGTAACCCTCCACCACAGACCACACTATCAAAACACCTCAATAAGTAACATTTTCTAGGCCCTTGCCTATCTTTCCCGGCCTAATTCACCTCTCCCTTCTGAAAGTTGGTTCAAACCTTCCAGTAGCACCCGGTCATTGATAGCTTCCAGAAGAGGCAGTATCACTCAAATCTCCTCTCTAGGCCGCAGGATCAGTAATTGCTTGGGGCATGCAAAGTTAGGCTCACGCCCTTTCTGGGACTATTTTGCCTCTGCTCTGAAGCACTAGTGACAGAGCTCAGACCAGAGAGGGTGTTCTTTCAGGTGGGATTACTACTCACAGGGAGCCCTCCTTCAAAGTTTGTAACTCCTACTTTATTCCAAGGAAAACCAGACCATCATCCAGTATCTACCTCCTAGAACTCACTGTTCCTGAAAACTAGGTATTGTACTGAATTCTGTATACTCAAACCAGGAGTTCTGGGCAGGCTACACAGTGCAGGAGGGGACCAGAAACTTCACTTGCTGAAGCTGCCCCAAGAAAACCCACAAACATGACTGCCACATAGTAAAACTCGGTCTGCCCACACTTCACAATTACTTCTCGGAGAATCTGGAAGCATTTCACTAGCACTGTTAATACGCCCAACTTACAGATGCGTAAAGCCAATGTCATATAGGTTAGTAACAGGCTCCTTCATGATAGTGCTGGAATGTGAACGCACACCGCAGACCCCCTCACACCCCAGTCGCCATCTCGGACTCGACCACCCCGTTCCAGGAGCTTCTGGAATCGGCTTTTGTACACCTGGAAGCACACAGCTGGTCTTCTCGCAGAGAGCCGTGTTTTGACAAACCAGTCCTTGACAGCGCAGCCCGAGGTGCCCCCTCCCCACCCAGGCCCGCGCGCTCGCACCGGCACATCAGGCCCCGCCCGCCTGAGACCACCGGCGTTCCTGCTCCACCAAGTGCTGGGACACCCGTGCCGCTCCCCAGGATCCCCCGAGGCCCACGGACCTCCTCTTTCACTCTCGCACCCACCTTCAGGCACTGAGCCCAACCCTCCACAGCCTGCCGATCAGCGTGCGAGCGGCCGCAGGGCCCGGAAGTTCCGGAGTGGGCGGAGCTGCACACGCGCAGAAGGAACCAGGACAAGCCCTTCCCTTAGCGCTGTGCTGTTGGCGTCACTGGAGGGCGAGACTACATTTCCCATAAGCCTCTAAGACAGTCTCTTAGGAACCAAAGGAGGACGTTTCTCTTATTTCCGGGGAGTCAGTCTTGCTGCCTGTAGACCTGCCTCTGATGCTTTAGGACTGGTCCCTACCCACAAGACAGCGATATGGGATTCTGCTTCTTTAGTAAACCCTGGTTTGACGATCTAATACATTGTGGGACGAATAGGAAGAGTCGACGTGAGCGAAGCAGTTGATATTAATCATTTGCTTTAATTTTTAAAAATTTGGTTAAAAGTATTGTGGTTATAGAATACACGTCTATCTTTTACAATATATTCTAAAGCGTGAAAAATCAAGTCTCTGGGCCGGCCCGGTGGCGCACTGGAGAGTGCGCCGCGCGCGGATCCCATGTGGAGACCGGTTCCCGCTCACTGGCGCGGTGCGGGCGCGACACCGAGGGTTGTGATCCCGTTACCGGTCAGTAAAAAAGACAAAAAAAAAAAAAAGGAAAAATCAAGTCTCTATTTTATTTTATATTTGGTAACAATCAAATAAGTTAATATGGTAACTCTTCAAACCGTGAGAGGTTTGTTCTCATCCACAAAGCTAATTTGTGCTTCTTCGATAGATTTATTACAGATTGGAAAAACTGTTCTAGTGTACACTGTCACTGGAATAAAATAGCAGTGTAATACAGTAGGTGCAATCTATAATCCTTGTTCTAATTTACACTCCAGTGTCTAATAATTGTCTGCCTAGACTCCCAACTTCCATCCACTCATCCATCGTCTATCAAATCTTCAGTTATGCGTTTTGTTTCTTGCGTGTGAGATAGATTTAATAAAAGTTTTCTTTTCCTTCCCTTGTTTCTGCCACAAACTAGGAAAGGAGTTCTGCAAAGGGGTTTCTCGGAGTGCCAGCTGCCACCGAAGTTCCCATTCAAACACAGAAATGCCTGTCTTGAGAGGCTGGCCCGTGGCTCACTTGGGAGAGTGCGGTGCTGATAACACCAAGGCCACGGGTTCTGATCCTATATAGGGATGGCCAGTTAGCTCACTTGGGAGAACGTGGTGCTGACGACACCAAGTCAAGGGTTGAGATACCCTTGCCGGTCATCTTAAAAAAAGAAAAAAAGAAAAAAAATGCCTGTCTTGAGTGATCAGGGTTGATGTAGGCTTGAGCAGTAGAATGGGCACTTCAGTGAAAGAGGGGCAAAGTGTAGAGGTGAGTAGATGGAGTGTGTGAGAGGCTTGGCTCTTGCCCAAGACCTGGTTTTCTCCGCCACCGAAGTTCCCATTCAAACAGAGAAATGCCTGTCTTGAGAGGCTGGCCCGTGGCTCACTTGGGAGAGTGCGGTGCTGATAACACCA